TGGCATTTTACTAATGACACCGAGCCATTTGAAGCATGAGAATGACTGCTGAAACAGAAAAAAACCCAAACTTGGTGTCTTTCAGATATTACATACACTAAACTAGAGCAATCTGAGCATAAATTATCTCTTGTGCCATCCTCTTCCACTCTCCCCATGGGCTAATGGCAAATTTTCAAGTTAAAAAGGTTGTCTTGGGTCAGACTTTTGGGACTCATAGCCAAAAGATGAAAACAAAATACCAAAACCCCTGGCACAATGAGGGCCCAGCTATCAGAACTAATTTACCCCCACAAATATTTAAACATTTTATAGTTTCAGTGGGAAACAAAGATCCATGAAAACTGAAGACATCCCTATGGGCAACAGAACCATGGGAGCTTTCAGCTTGTCATTTGCTATTTTAAAGAAGGAAAATTTGTAGCACTGGTTCATGGATTTACACTGCCCTTGTGTAGGTCTTCAGCCTCAAAGAACTAAAACTTCATCTCTACAAGAGACCAGGATGGCAGACAGGACATTAATCAGAAGTTGTATCAAACAGGTCTTTGCAGCAAAAAACATTTCCTAGAGGGAAATGGAAGAAAATTCTTTTTCACAGTGAAAGAAAAGAGTATTTTTATTTGCAAGAAGATACATCAGAATTCCTGCCATTTTAATCAATGGCTTCAAAAAAAAAAAAAAAACAACAAACCAAAACACCTTTGTTTCAAGCAGTTTTATAGTGTAAACTCTGATCTACCTGGTCCAGAAGGTGCTGACATTTTTGTTTACCATAATCTTTATATAGTTCAATATCTTAATAGTGTGTGACCAGAGTGAAGGCAGAGATTGACAGCTAGTCAATGAACTGATGAATATCTCCCTCATAAGCATTTCATTTAGCTACCCAAGCAGTGTGCATTTTGCCTTTATATACACATTCCAGTGCTATTATCTTACACTTAATTACTTGGGTCTCAAAGCCCCTGACGAAGGAATGAGCCACCATTATCAACATTTCACGTACTGCAAAGCCTGGGCAGAGTGGGGTAAAATTTGCTGAAAGTTACAGCACTAAATATCCAAGGTCAGTGGCAGGTGGAAAAGAAAGCTCTTATCAGGTGAGCACATTGCTTCTCAAGATGTGTGCTTGGGAAGCACTTACTGCAGTCTTTAATAATCTGCATCAGGCACTGCAAAAAACTTAAAATTCCACTTGTGTGACAGCAAACATTTGTGTAAAATTTGAATCTATTGACACTTTATCTGTTAAACACTGGAATATTGTATTCAGCTTTCTTTAAGGAGGACAAACACCATGTCACCATGAGATGACTTTCCTGACAAGTCTTCCCTGGTCATTCCTCAATTATTTTTAAACATCTTCCAATTACACCCATTGTCTCAGATAGACTCAATTGTACTTATTCTTTCTGAATTATGGGAGCCTCTTGCAAAACATTAATCATGCTCAGATTTTGTATCAGTCAAGAAATTATAAAGCCTGTTCAGTTCTCACCCTGGTTTTTTATTTTATGTTTTAAAACCCATCAGGAGGCACTCAGTAAAACCAGCAGCAACTTGAAATTTGATGACAAAACAGTTAAAGAGTCAAAACTAACCCCTCATTTTCCATTGAGCAATTCTATGTACACGAGGAGTAAATAAATACACCCTTTTTTGTAGAATTTGGAATGTTTTCACTGGCTGCATGTCCAAGTAAAAGTCCCAGGGCTGCATTAAAAAAGGTAAATGAAATTACTTTACCTCCATGTCCAGCTCAGGTAGCTACCAGGCCTTGAACAAGATTACCAGGACAACTAGTGAATATCAATGACACCAGCATTGCAGCAGAATTTATTCTTGGCACTGGGTTTTGCCTTCTTTTTTGTTACAGGGTTTCCCTCCCTTTCACTGGGACAAATGGGGATCACAAGTTCCAAACAAGTTAAAAAACAGGAAGAAATCCAGCTTGCAAGTTTACATTGTAATTGATATAAGTCTATTATTACAAGACAAATTGCAGCAGACAATGCAAGAGACAGCTCAATCTGTTACCCAGTCCCTGCAATGGCTGTATGAAGAACTCGACCATTTCACTCATAAATCTTCCTCCTAAGTTTTCATTGCTGCTTGTATGGGAAAAATAATAAAAACTATGGAGTGACTTGTACAAGGGATGCAGTAACACATTTCTAAACACAATTACATTAAATTTGTTACAGGAGCCCTGACCCTTTCAGCATCTAATCAGGAATATTTCGTGTCCCAGGCTGCAAAAACACCCCACCATTCCTTTAAGAAGTCATTAGCTGCTATCATGCCAATTGTGAGAAATCATCTCTGCTGAGATCGCTGTGAGGCACTGGGCTGTCATCAGCCACTCTGGAGGATCCATCACAAACTTTCTTCAGGACAAAATTTCATTTCCAGGACACTGACCTGCTCCCTAACTCCACAGCAAATACAAACTCCACAGGAAGAAGAATGGTTAGAAGATTCCTGAGATGTACATTCCCATTTACTTCTTAGAGTAATGAATTTAGTGATATTTTTATACTAATTTCTTGTCTCTTGTCTGGAGCTCACAGCACCCAGCAAGGAGATCAGGAGAATCGCTGCACAAGTAAAACTTTAGAATTAGCTGCCAACATTGATGAGAGAAACAGAAGAAAGGAAAAAAGATTGGAGAGGGGGAGATATAAAATGGGCTACATGAAACGATTTTGCTCAATGAGTTCAAGGGCAGCTATGAAATGCCTGTGGTTCCTCCTCTGTCAGGAGGCCACAACACCAGAAGTGACAGAAGCCAAGATTACAGCCAGGAGCACCGAGGGGCAGCTTTCTGCCAGCACCTTGGGGTCTCACAGCCAGCTGGAGCCCAGGGGCTCTGGGCACTCCTGGCAGCTCAGGGACAGAGTCTCCAGGCACAAGGACATGGCACCAACAATCCCCTCTGACAGCCTCACTCACATCCCAGCACCAGCTTTGACACTGACATTTTATAGCACGCGCTCCAAAACCAAACTGGCTTCCCTGGCACCCATCCCTTCCACTGAATCCTCAAAGAAAAAGATGCTGGTGGAAGAGATCCCCTTTTCCTTTTGGGTTGGCAGGAAAACAGTCAGATTTACAGTCAGGTCACACAGACAAGTAGAGAGGAGGGCACAGACTAAGCTTAATGATCATTTAAACCCGGAGCGTATTGATTAACGCAGCCACATTAAATCCAAGCTACTTTAAGAGCAATATTCCAACATCAGCCAGGAAACCTAGAGGCTATGGCTGTTAGTCTCACAGTACAGTTCTTCTTCCCTTTGCTTGCACAAATATGATACAAACCCCAAAAGAATCTGACTGGAGGCACCTGCAACAGTTAAGAGGCCTTACACTCTAAATTACCTTGCTTTTGTTAGGCAGGTGAATGGTCCATAACATTCTTCCTGAAAGAAGGTTTCTCCCTTCAGAATTCAATTTATAAACTTACTCCTGCCAGGCTGCGATAGCAGCTGCTGTATAAACCTGAAAATGATGACTACTGGAATTCCATTCAAACCTCAGGAATCAATAGAAAGCAGACAAACGACCCAAGATAAAAGTTCCACCCAAGTGCAAAGAGCAAGGACTGCAGGATCCCTCTCATTGTTTTTACAGGGGCTGCAGTCACCATCCTGTGAAACAGAGACTGCACAATCTCATTTCAGCTTGAAAACCTGACCTGTGCTATCCACACTGCACCCACACAATCTGCCTGCTGGGAATGCCTCAGTTCCACTGGTATTGCCAAGCAAAAGGAGCCTCAAAAGACAATTTATAATGGCCAGGACAATTTATAATTTGCTGAGATATATTCCATTTGGTAAAAGCTTTTTGTAAGGCCTTCTTGGAGACTGTGATCCTGCTTACCTTGAAACAGCAGCTGTTCTGTAAGTTAATCACAACCAACCTGCCTTGGTGTCACTCTGGCTCGTCTCAACTCACCCACATAAACTTGTTTCTGTGGGCTGTAAAGAAATACCCAATCACAGCTTAAATGAACTAATATTGTCTGCAGGCAGCACCAGCTCCATTGTAAACAGCTCTGCATTTTATTTATTGTTACAGTCCTTCTGACTCATACTGCCTGACAGACAAGCCAGGTGAGGACACGAACATATTAGAATTTAAAAGGGAAAAAACGAAATACTTAAAAATCTGCCTTCCTTTGAACAAAGCACAATATGCTTCAGTTGAAAAGGAAATTATCATTTGCCTAATACAAAAGAAATCCTTTGTCCCAATCACAGCCTACTCTGAAGGAATGACTTTCTTCCCTCTCTCAAGAAGCCAAATGGATGCAGTTCTGTAATTTTGGAGAGCTTTACACAGTGTGTTAAATTACAAGACAACCCATTGTGGGTTTATCAAATTGTGAGCCAGTGTGTGAGACAAAAAAGATTCTCCTTGAGAGTGGGTGATAGAGTCTAAGTCACACAGAATTTGGTCTATAGTATGCTAGAACACAGTGAAATGAAAGATTGGTGCATATATTATTCCAGGAATACTATGAAATATTTGGTAGTGAGCTATAAAACCTTCCTACTCTGAGATGCACTAAAAAAAAAAACCCCATGAACAAATACAGGGGTTCATTTGCTGCATTCTTTGCCTACTGCCCACCTGCTTTGACTCAGAATTTCCTCTCACAAAGGTAAAAGCAAGGCTGAGAAATTCAGTAAGAGCACCACAAGAACATTCAAGTTGAGAAGCAATAGCCAGATATTCCACTGGACACCACTGGGGATATTCAGTGATGTTACCCACCAGACACTCACTCATCTGATAGCAATCAAATTTGATTTTCATCTCGCTTTGTTAAAATTCAATACCAAAAATATTAAATAAATAAAAAATTTAAAAAGGCAGCATCTTTAATTTTACATCAACATTAATAAAATATTCTTGTTTTAGAGATTATTGCTGAAGATGCATTTTATCCAAGCACCAGATGCACTTGAGACAATTTCCACTGGACTCACCATACTGGCAGCGAGGGCCCTGGAATCCTGCAGGACACTGGCACACCTGGGACCCTTCTCCAGAGCATTTCCCTCCGTTGAAGCAAGTGGCAGCAGTGCAGAGCACTAGAGCACACAAAGAGAACAGGACAGGCTATTTTAGTTCTTTTTGTGCCAAGGACCCTCCAGAACAGACATAGTCCTGTTGCAACACGACCTTCCCAACAAGAAGAAACCCAGGTTTTTATTTAAGGGCAAAGGACTTGGTATCATAGGTGTAACTACCTTGTTGATATGAGGAAATTTAATAAAAATTAGACTTAGGTATTGCAGTTTAATCTGAAGGTGCTTCAGAGGCAGAAGGCAGGACTCAAAGCACTGCCTGAATCAAAAATAAAATAAGAAAAACTGCCAGACAATAATGTAGGAATGGTTAAAAACCACTGATGCACTGGGAGATATTATATATGTGGAAGGGAATTACAATTCTTCCCTTCCTCTAACACAGAACAGTTTTATTTACAATAACTCAAATTCCACATGCTTGAGCCAAACTTGCAAAGAGTATCAAATATAAAAGAGTAATTCAACCACTTTGGTGCCTTAAAGAATTCAAAGCAAGTCTGCACTGCTCTTTCAGGAAGAAAATTTAATTTTGCCACTAGTGCTCACATACCTTAAACTCCTTTACACCAGAGATTAAAACACAGCTTGTAAACATATTTTTGACTTCTAACAACTAAACAGGTGCACACTAAATATGTAGATTCAGGCTGAAACTAACAGGAATACCTCTCAGGCTTGTTTTTGTTTTTTAACTACAAAGAGACAACCATAAAAGCAAGCTCTTCGAATGCATACCCTGAAGTTGGTATGAAGATTAAAAAATAAATAAGAACAGATGCTAACTTTCATATAGAAAACACAATTACTGACTAAACAGTAACAAAACTAAACACTGAGTAGGTTGCCATCTTCTCCTGATGTCTTGTTAACAGTGGCTGAAGCGCTGCCTTATCATTTCAATTAAATTCCATCTTTCAGGAGAGCATCCAATCAGGATCAGAAATTAGTGAGAGAAACAGGTTCTCCTCAGATGGAGACCCACAGGGCAGGAATAGCTTCCATGAACTTCAAGGAATTGCTTCAATGGCAACAGCAGAAGTGCAAATGCCAAAACCAGTGAGACCCCACGGTGAGCTCAACACCCAGGGAGCGAGTGCCTCACAGCAGATTTCTCTGCCTCATTTGGGTAACAGCAATAAATTTGGTTGGCCTGTCAAAGCCAGGCTGGCACAAAAATGCTGCAATAACTCCAATTGGAGTTTAGACTGTTAATCTAAACTGTTTCACTGCGTGGATGAAAATTAGAGCTCTTTGCTACTTTCACGCGAGCGCTTTTGGATTTTTAAAGGACCTTTATGCCCCCATCACCAGGGAAATCCCAGTTACAAATCACAAAACCCTTGTGTCTGGAAGTGGGGATTCAGCAGGAAGGCAAGGCCTGAGGATGTCACCTCTTGGTTTGCCCCAGGTTTGTCCCAACTCACAGTGCAGACAGCCGGGTTCGTTGTCGCGCTGGGCCCAGCCGGGGCAGCACTTATAGACAGTCTGCTGCTCCATCCTGTACACCTGCTTGTAAACCGTGTAGTAGCCAGACCTGTGGGGCAAGGAAGGTTAAGAGAGCAATCACAACTCCTGTTCCACTCAGCCCCACCTCACCAGCAGCACGCTGTACTCCTGTGTCATATTTATGAGACATTTTTTCAGCCTCCTTCGGAAATTCTCGTTAAAAATAAGCAAATGTAGCAAACTGCATCCTGGGAACATCCAATGGCTCTGATGGGCTATGTCCACTTATTTTGAAGAATTTGTATTCAGGCTAGTCAAAGGTAACTTTTTCCCCCCACCCAGTCAATTTTGGGTTTATCTGTTGGGGGAGTCAGATCTCCCATCAGTTCTAAGAAAGCGACAGAAACAGAAAGAAGTTCAATTTTTCAAAGTCAATTACTTGACAGCTGGGCTTCACCTGAACAAGAACAAGACAGGAACATTTTCTGATAGTGCAAAATTCTGAATCTAAAGCCAGCCACAAAGCTCATGAGCAACCCAAAACACATTAAAAAGTCACATTTTCTACTCAGAAATAACAGATTTCAAGCCAAATCTCAGGAGGACACTATGCCCATAATCACACACTTCAGATGAAACAGTTCACAACTTCTCTCACAAAAAAGTTAAAGATCTTGCACAAAAAGATTAGCAACAAAACCTGTTTATAACAATAGATGATACATTACCTTCTCTCATAGCTCACACACCACCTCCCCTTTGTGCAGCCTTGTTTCCACATCTTGACCATCCTGCTGAAGGACTGAATGCAGGGCTCCTGGTGTCCCACCAGGGCCAGCTCAAACACTGGGCACACATTTGGCCTGGGAGGGGAAAGAAAAAGATCATTTTTATTTCTAACACCAAATTTAGACATCTAGAGAAATGCACATGAAACTATGCTGTGTGTAATGGTTTGAAACAGGGTTTTTACTGGTGTTTGAACACGCTGCAGCTCCGAGATTTAGAAGGCAGCATGTGAACAATGTACTGAAACTCAGGCTCCACACAAGTCCATGAAAGATTTACCACAGATTCAAGGGCAGATAAGATTTATCTAAACTCTTGCTAGGGAAATTGTATATTCTGTAAGAGCTCCCCTCGCTATCAGTCCCCTCAGGGAAACACATGAAATTCGTAAGAGGAAGGATCCTTGTTCTCTGCTGATTATTCCTAAAATAACAGGACCAAAATAAAAGCGCTGCTTTGGAGGATGATATGTAATCTTCATCCTGCTACCTAGCCAGAGTTACAAAAATAGCAGGATTGCAGGAGGTATGGAGGGTCATAACAAAGGTTACATGCTGATGGTTTTGCAGAGATTTTGTCTGCCTTATCCCGATTTCTTTGCCCTGGTATAAATCAGGAAATTCTGAGCAACAGAAAACAACAGCATCAAACATTCAAGGTCTAACTAAAACCATAAAGCATGAGGGGTTTTGTCATCTTTGAAGGCAGGAACCTGTTGTGACACGAATGAAACTATTTCACTGATTTTTTTTGGAGTAGTTTATAGATCGTTAGTGCAATAATTTAATCATCAATTCCCCAAGACAGCCTGGTGAGGCTTTGCAAGCACCAGCCTCAATAACCCAAACACAGGGGATAACAGGGACCTTCTACACCCACCCTGGCAAAAACAGCACTGAGCAGATGTGTCCTTCCCCAAATTTCACTCAGAGTCCTCTCCAAGCTTGAGGGTGACACCCTGTCACACGTTTCCTGTCCCTCGTCACAGGTAGAAACATGACCCTGTGCTAGAACACCTGGGGGTGGCACTAATAAGAGAGCAGCTCTAGCCCAAGAGCTGCCTGGCAGCTGGTCATCATCACTTACACTGGATATTGTTAACATCTCATCCAGGATTTATGGTGCTTTTCATCTCCCAGGCTCCCTATTAAGCCTGAACACCACACATGGTAGCCTTGCTAACAAGGGAACATCTTTCATCCACAGGTCTTCAAGTAGTTTACAGATATCATTAAATTAAGGCTGTGCAGAACAAGAAAATACTACAATCATGATCGATGTTACTGCAGAGCTGAGCACTTGGAAGTAGCCCTACATGGATGAAATCCACAGCAATCCCAGTGCTGAGAGTGGGATGTGCAGCCAGATCTCCCAAAGGCACCACAGCTGCAAGGGAATGCCTGGGACATCATCTCAGGGTAAAGAGGACCTTTGCCCAACAAGGACACTTCAGGAGGAGGAACAGACTGAAACCCAATGCCAACAGCCCTCAGGAATCCAGGTAGCCCATGTAGAGGAAGTTAGGAGAAGAAAGCTCACAACTGTAAGCTCTGGTTGTCACCATGGGGGAAAAAAAGTAAAGAATCCATTTGAACCGGAACACCTGGCCTTGACAGAAGTTACTTTCCTGAACTAGAATATCTGTTTCTCCCAGGCTTTAGAGCAATCATCTCCATCCTCCTAAACCACAGGGCCAGTGGACATCCCTCCATGTTCTTCCTCCTGCAATGCACAGTCCATTCTCAATACAGCTCCGTATTTCCCATTCCCCAGGTCTGCCAACACGTCAAAGAAGAACAGGAGATGGTCACAGGCCAGTTTCAGATTAAATTCCTCGAGAAACCAGCCTTCCCCCACATTCCCAGTGTCACCTCCATTACTTTGCAACCCTTCCCATGTGTCCCAGCTACCCCTTCCCTCCAGAATTACCTCCCCACTTAACATATTTAGCTGAGGTTCAGAGCCATTGTTCCCAAGCCATTCTTAGCACAAAGTCTGCCATTTGTTTCCCATCCAAAGAAGATCTTTGTGTGCCCAAAAACTTGTCTATTTTTTTTTTTTCCTTTCCATTACGTCAGTTGGTCTAATAAAACCCTTGCCTTACTTAGCAACCATGCCTCACTTAGCAGGCTTTTTAAAATGACTCTCCCTCCAGTGAATAGAACATCATGTTCTGATAATTCATGCATATCTCCTTTTATTAGAATTGCCTAAAACTTTCCAGATAAAGGTACATTCATATGCATCGCTCTTCCATAAATAAAAGAGAGGAGCTGACAATTGTTGCAATGACACACTGAGCCCATCCCACAAGTTCCTCCTCATGTGATATTGCCATGTTTCCAGGAATAGTAGTATTGGCTTCTAGGATATAGTTAATGGGAACAAATGACGCTCACAGAACAAAACAAGCCAGCAGCAGAGTCATATGTTTTTGAAGATTTATTCAAAGTAAGTCATTCCTCCTTGATGCCCTTGGGATAATTTAAAGGCAGATATCAAAACTGCTGAAACACTATAATTAAATTGCAGCAATTGCATAACATGTAATCCTGTGCTGGCAAAGCTGGGAATCAAACATGCCCTCTTCAACAATTCAGCATCTTCACAGCTCCCCACACACACAGTCAACATGGCAGTTTTTAAGCCATCTGACTCACTTGATGCCTCCAAACTTCAGAACAGCTTCTGGAACCAGGCTACAGCTACTGAAGGCACAATTTCATTTGTGGAACTCTGCTAATTGGAGGCCATCCGGGACTAAGCTGAACCCTCGAGTGGATGGAGCGGTGTATTAGAGAGCAGCTCCTGTTCTACTGCCCCGCCCTTTGCATCCAGGAGATATTCCTTAATGGGAGTTGAAGTGCTAAAACAAGCAAAAGACTCCAAGGGATATTATGGGCCACGATTTGATTGATACACCGGCCCCTTAAAGCCTTTTTGCACTGGTGCTCTGTGCTAGCCAAGGCTAACACCAGGGCTATTATTAGCTTGTCAGTCTGACTCAGGCAAGGCAGAAAGCTCTCTTAATATTTGCATTAGGAGACTGCCCTTTAAACAAAGACACCCTACACACTCCCAGCTCAAGACTTGAGATTCTAATGAACAGATAATTAGACCAAAACGGAGCAAGAGCAGCATGGGCTAATCATATGGCTGTGGCGCCTGTGAACCGCTGCGCAACGGGAGAAGTTCAGAGAAAATTAAAAGCATCTCCAGGCGGGATGTAATTCATTCCTGTGTTTGGAATTTTAAAAAGAAAAGGAACAGACAGATCTATCACAAAATCACAGAATGGTTTGAGATGGAAAGGACCTTAAAGATCACCCAGTTCCAACCCCTTGCCAAGGGCAGGGACACCTTCCACTATCCCAGCTCCAAGCCCTGTCCAACCTGGCCTTGGACATTTCCATTTGTAAAGGTCCTTCACATCTCTGTGACAGGGATATTTTCTTTTTCTGCCAACACCTGGAATGGTGAAGCAAATCTCCCATTCTACCCACCTATTTTTCCCCAGCTCAATACAAGAAGCTAAAGGTAGGTAGATTTAACAGCAGTGAGAGAGCAAACACACATCAAGATGTCCCTAAAGATTTCTTTCAACAGCACAAACTTTAAATCAAAACATTAACGAATACGAATTTGGCTGTCTGATTTCAGGTCTTTCCACAGAGACTCTGTGAATGACACCACCTTCTGCACTAAGTCAGACAGCTGTTAACATCCCCCTAAAAATGAGATGTTGCAGCCTGCGTTGCCTCAGCTGCCGAATTTGCAGCCTGAACACTATTGATCTTCCCATAAATCAGTCAATAGATGAAACCTGTCATAAGGAGCAACTCGCTGGAATCCTGTATTTTCAAAACACTAATTGGTTGCTGCTCCTTCCCCTTATGCTGTTATTAAAAGTTTAGAAAACCACAGTCTGCTTATCCAGTTTTAGTTTGAAAAGATCAAATAAGAGTTTTCTTAAGGGAGCCAAGATTACAGTCAGGGCTAAATTCCCCACTGGTGTGATGACTGTTTTTGCACTAGAAATACACTGATGTTGATCTGAAGATAGCTGTACACTGCTACAAAGGATTTGGTTAGAAACTTTTCAGGTTAACTGTCTGAATCCCCTCACACCCCCAGCATCCCAGCAAAACATCACCACTGTCTTGTAAAAAAGACCTCTGGAAAGAGAAGGTGGCACCCTGAAGAAACATGTGGTACTGTAGAGGAGAAACAGCCTGCAGCATGGTGTTGTATGGATTGAAAGTTTTCAATCTGTATGATCTCAGTTGGAAAGGAGAAAAAAACAAATTTTATTTCAAAACAGAAAAAGAAAAGTCAAATCAGGAAATAGGCCACAGAAACAAAAGGTCCAAAGAACAAGTTATATATATTTGCTTATATACGTAAATTTTGTCTCTAGATACATATTGCTTAATAATTCACAAAGGCCAGAATGACAGAGGAGGCTTTTATTTTTTAAACTGCCAAGCTCCCCTTTCCACCCTTAATCTATTTTAAGGCTCATTTCCCTGATAAAATTAATCAGCACTACCAGAGACAATTAGGACATCCTGCTCCCTTGACCACTAATCAATCCCTGCTCTCTCCTGATCCTGTATCAATATTTGTGATGTTTATAGCCCCTCTGGGACATGGATTGTAAGCACCAAGCTCATCTAGATTAGGTCTCATTATCACTGCTGTTCTCTGGCTCTGTGGATGAAGGTCCACCACACAAGGCTCCCCTCATCCCACAGGTTACTAATGCACTGCTGGGTCTTACTCACATCCTCCCTTTGATTAGATGGAGCAGCTAAATAACATGAGAGTTCCTTCAGCCTTTGTGCCCTGCATCTAGATGAAGAGCAAATCAATAGGAGATGATTAATTACACACTCAGCTATTATAACAACAATAAGATTTTTAGTTCTTGCCGCTATCAAAGTGCAGCGCCTGTCGTTTACCTTCTACCTAACCATCCTCCTCCCTCCCCCAGGACAGAATCATCTGTTTGGGTTGGCAAGAAAAGCAGAAGATAAACATGCACATCCAGATCGTTTAACCATGATTGGCCAAG